GAGTATGGAAATTTCAATAGCTTTTGACTCCTATCTTGATAAATTTGGAGTGTGTACATATGTATCTCGGGGCACATAATGGATTTGGGATAATACTCACTTGACTGAACTGGCCAAGGAAGAAAGGTCCATCGTCAAACTTCTGGAGGGCATTCTCCAAGTAATCAAATTCAGCACCTATTTGACGAGGCAAAATGAATTAATTTCAATTTCTAAAAGCAACAGAAGTCCCAATACAATAACCTTGATTCTTAAAGTCAAACTGTGTTAAAAAAAAAAAAAAAGTTAGATCACCAGCTTGTTTAACAGTATCTCCTTTGAACGATGAAAACACGTTCTTCACAAACGTGCCCGAGTAGGCAATCAACTCTTCAGCAAACTTCTGTTTGGCCGGGTCCTGAGTGTTTCATCCATCCCGCATAAGGGTTAAAAACAAAAGATTTGGAAGTGAAACAAAATCCTACCAATAAAGATACAAATGCAAATTCCAATCTTACATCCGGTAAAAGAGACGGGCCTTTGAAGTTGGCATCTATATACTTGATCAAGTCCAGGCTTTCTCCAATAACTTTACCATTATGCTCCAGTGCCGGCACCTGCAAAAAAAACAAGGGCGAAATATTAAAACAAGCCCGATTTACATTAAGCAATTTCATACAGAAGTTATTCCTACACCAATAAAATATCAAGTAACTGAAACTTCATGCTATCGAATACCAATACGAACAAAATACCTTGTTTTCAGGATACACTTTCTCCTTGTACCATGCAGGCCTATTTTGGAGGTCAATTGGAACCAATTTTATCTCGTCATGTAAACCCTGGGTACATTCAGCCATTGGAGACGAAACGATTTTGATCGACAATGAGTCAAAAAAATTAGAGAAACAGGGAATTGGAATGTAAAACCAAGCTAAGGCTATAAATCCCAGATCAGGGGTGGAAAATTCTTCAAATGACACACCTTATAGTTCCTCACAATCCACGCGCGCTGAGCAAATGGGCACTGGTAATTGATATACAATCTTCACATGTCAAAATACAAAGACCTTAATCAGACTTCTCATGATCTCATCATCCCAAAAGATCATACGAATAACACACACACACACACACACACATACACACAAATTGGGTCAGAAAACGATAACTTGTTGGATACAAAATAGTAAATGTAAAAGACTCATGCTACACTACTATAATAACTTACAGCTTGGGTTACTGAAAATACACATGACAAATATTCATTACTCTTGTCATTATAATATTACCAAAACCAACAGTTTATATTTTAACAACACATGATTCGATGAGTCAGTTAGAAAAGTGTTGTCGATATACAACCCCCGCGTATCCAAATCAAAGACCTTACACTTCACATCATCCCAAAAGATGACACAAACACACACTCTCAATAGGGTCACCAAACGATAACTCGTGCGCAACAACACAAAGAAAATAGAATTGCCATGCTACAGTACTATAATATATTGGACTATGAAAAATACACACTACAAAAATCTATTCTCATTATAATACTACCAAAATCAAAATTTCACATTTTTAAGATGTTATAAGTTAGTTGGGCACCGATAATTGATATACAACCTTCACCATGTCTAAATCAACGACCTTAGACTTCACATATCCCAAAAGATCGTACAATTGACACGCACAAAAACCTCACTCAAACTGGGTCGCCAAACGATAATTCATGCGCTACAACACAAAGTTAATATAAGAGTGATGCTACACTACTATAATAATTCACATATCGGATTTCCAAAAATATACACGGCAAAGATCCATTACTCTTCTCATCATAATATTACCAAAATTAACAATTCAAATTTCATCAAAGACCTTAGAGTCACAACATCCCGAAAAACCATACCATTGACATACACAAACCTTAAATCGGGTCACCAAATGATACCTCGTGTGCTACAACACATAATCGCTCTACATTACTACAGTAATTTACAAGTTAAATTGCCGGAAAATACACATGACAAGCATTCATTACTCTTCTCATCACAATACTGCCAAAATCGACAATTTCGATTTCAACAACACATGATTTCGCCAAGACGGATTATAAACCACAATAATGCTAAAGAGGCAACAGTTGGCTCCGTTACGGAGCCAACAACCAATGAGACAACTCCATGTGGGGGCTGTCCCACACATGGAGTTGTTCAATTGGTTGTTGGCTCCATAACGGACAGCCCAACTGTTGGTTCCTTAGCATTTGTTCAAAGTAGATTAACTCGTAAATATAAAGTGTGTAATCTGTACAGTATAGCTACCTAGTTGTTCCATCAAAGAGAGGTGGAGGTTCTGAAGTAGAATCCAGCGAGGGAGGAAGAACTTCTTGTACGGCACTGTAAATTTTCAAACAAGCACAACCAATTAACACCATTGACGAGTAGATTTCAACAACAAGCACAACCCATTAACACCATTCACGAGAATCGCTGATGAAAGGCTCGATCGACGTCAAAATTCGGACACACACAATATAAAAAAAAAAGTTAAAATAAAATAAAACAAAAAGAGGAGAAAGTAGAAACATGGAGAGCTTACGGGGCAGCCATTTGCGGGTCGGGTCGGGTCCGAAGCTTCAAGAGCAAGGCGATGAAATGGAAATCTCGGGAATTTTCTGGTGTGCGTGGGATCTTGGAGTTAGCTCGTAGCGGAGCTTATATAGAGCGGTCTGTAGCGGATTTTTTCTAAATGCTTGCGCAACCAATGACGTAATATTATTGTTGGGAGGATATTGCATATGGACGATTAAATGGGACAAGGGGGTTTAATTTAGTCTTTATCTCTATTCGTTTAATATATAACAAAGTCAACAAATTACGGGCGGCGACTTGGGTAAGTAGATGGGTGAGCAAAACTGATCCGAAATAAAAAAAATAGAGTCAAATTGATATAATCGAAACGGTGCGATTCAAATTTTGAAGATTGCGGTGCGGTTAAAATATTGAACAATCGTAAATCGAGATTAATTTTTTTTTTTGAGAGAATACTACCATCCCGTTACGAGATGATTGTATTATGTTTTTCAGTCGTAGATATACACATAATCTGACAATGTGTAGATAATCCAACGCTTACAAAATATAACGGAACAATCTCGGGATGGCAGTATTCTCCTTTTTTTTGGTTCCCTCATTAAAGTTTTTTCCTCTACACTTCTTAATACCAAATATTACTTCCATTTAGCTCTCTAACATTAAAAAATATATAAATCAATCAAAATGTCCGACCACCACTCTACTACCAACTTCTCAACATTTTTTATTATTTTCTTTGTTTCATAAAAGACAATTTATACTCTTTCCCATCAACCCTTCTCCCCACCTTTTTTTTTTTTTTTTTTTTTTT